ATACATGCACGCACACCTGGGACGGGAATAGTTGCCTCAATTTTATTTATTTATCATACTCTCGGCACAGATACGAATGCTGGGAGTACGGCAAATTAATCAACGAAGTATGTATTACCTACTGCCTAGAGGCAGATTACGTATTCATTCAGTTTAAAATGACGGATTTCAGCTCACATATTCGCAGCAACTTTCGGACCGAACCTAGCAAGATTCTACTCAGGAAATTTACCCCAACGTCCCCACATACATTTCTGGTGAAACTAAAAAAAACATATAAGTTTTAATTGACATGAGTACGCATGAATAGTGTAGCAAGTCTTTATGCATGTAGATTTCAGTTTCAGGTAGGCGAGTACTCTCCCACACCGGATGTTAACCGTTGGGACTATTCATTGCTAGTGGTGCGCACGCATTTCGACGTCTAGTGAGCCACACCTGTCGCTGTGTAAAAGACTGCCTACGCTAAATGTAATTAATGTGTGCTGGGATCTCTGGGAAATTTATAGGAAATCTCGCCTGCCTGTATTCATGCACCCTATTAATCGTGACTACGCCACACAAATCATCGTCAAAACTATAATGGCCGCCACATAGCTTGTCATGATGAGCAATCAAACTGAACAAGCGCTGTTACATTCGGTTCACTTACTGTTATCAGCCAAATACTTCCAAACTTCAGATCGAGAGCCAGAGGTCTGATGGCGGGTCCGATCGGGCAATGAAAAACAAAGGATTGTGGGAGAGTCGTTCACCGATCGATTACGGGGTGGGCTCCGCACTTTGCTCCTTGGACTGTAGCTGAGAGCCACGAGCGGTACTTCATTTCGAAAGCATAATTCCAAGATGTTCAGCAAAAATTATTTTGTTCACAATGGATGAAAATGGCCACACCAACCAGACAAAACCAAAACGCAAACAGCCGATACATAATGGCCGGAAACCCTAACTCCGGACATCGTAAATAAAAGTTGATGACTGACTCATTGGATTTTACTTTCTTCAAACCTGTGCGAGCATCCTACTCAGATGACCTCACTATTCTAGTTCAAACAAACAAGGAGGAGTAACAATCAGTAAACTAACCGATGCACACATAAAAATGTCTATGTGAGTAGAGAACAGAGAAAATGCAGTTCAATTTTAAAAGTAAAGACACTACCAATGTAAACAGTAATAATGCTTAGAGTGGTGAAAGGGCTGATAATCAGTAATAAGACGGGCAAAAGGGACTTACCAAGTATTCTTCGCTTTTCTCCTGGCAGTTGTGTGCTGGGTCTGATGTTGATGCCTATCTTCTAGCCATTGTTTGCAAGCCTGCCCCAGTTGGCTTGCGATATTTTTAATAATCTTCTTGGAATTCTGGTAGGACAGGAGGAGTAAATACGTTCTCTCCCCGTATTAAAATTAGTCTTGCGCTGAATTTAAGGGTATTCAAGTTATTTTTAAGGTTAAGGTGCGCAACTCTGGAATTTAGTGCGGAGCCATCTGTCACGAGGGAGTCCCCATTTCGTGCTCTCCCCTCTATTTTTGTAACCTCAGCGAGCTAATATTCGTCAAACCTTAGTGTCGGCATGTCTGCTATTTTCAGTTTTCAAGGGCACTCACTGCCCAGTACACTAAAAATAAGCTGAACTATAAGCCCCACTATGTCTAACACTGGTTATTTTAGCTGTTTTAGCTGTGGCTCTATGAACTCGCAGATGCGTATTCACCAAAACTTCTTGAATTTAATTAAATTCCACTTTCAGTTCGACAGCATTATGTGCCCATCTGTGTTTCCTCCACACAGAATAATTTGTGCTTTTATAGTTTATTAGGAGTCATTATGAAGACTATCATTTGGGCTGTCGTCTTGCAGTTTGGTGTACATCCGTGCCTAAAGGGTTCTCAGTCAGTCAGTCACTCAACTTTAAAAAAGATTAGTGACCGAGCGCATGCTTATGATTTCTCCTCATAATGCATGGTAAGTATATATATACGGGCGGGAAT